CGGCCGTCGCCAATTGGGGCGGTTCCCGGTTGAATTTTTTGATGAAAGTTTTTGAGTATCTTCTTCATTAAGTCTAGTTTACCCATATTAAATTTCAGCTAATAATAAAATCCGGAAGGCAGTCAAATGATTTTCCGAAATGTACTGCGCTGTTTAACTGCGCAATTATCTTCAAAAACTCATTTGACTACCTTCTCGGTTGAATTTTTAGCTGAAATTTGGTATGTGTAAACTAGACTTAATAAAGATGATGCTAAAAAATTTTCATCAAAAAATTTCACCGGGAACCGCCCCAATTGGTGACGGCCGGGCAGAACCTCTTATATAAGGGGCTAATTGAACACTTTTAGTTATTTCATGTACCTATTTGACCCTTTAGCCAAGAAATAATTACACGCCTACGCATGCGGGTCTTCCCGCTTTACAAAATCTGAATCCACTTGGGCTCATCCCAATAGCAAAGGGTGAATTGGCTTATAAAAAGTCTCTAGCTTTGCTTGAGGATTTGAGTATGGGAAATACGATAGTATCTCACACCAAACTACCTCTGTGGGACTTATTTCAAAATGGTTTTCAATAACTTAACGCATCCCATGATCCCATTGTTCATATAAAATCAGACTTGATCCCACTAAAAACGAATACATCCCTTCTATTCCCGCCGTTTCTAAATCAAAATCACATTTTCCTTTTTTTAGATGTTTCAAAACAAAGTCACACTTTCTTATTTGGCAAAGAAATACTACTCTCGTTCTTAAATAAATGCAACACTTTGACTTTTACACTATTCGCATGTTCTACTTTGACTACATTTTATTTATTAATGTAACAATATTATTTTATAAAAAAAATATTGTTAAACTTGTCTCATGGTGAATTTTCATAATCTATTTTTTTTTAATGTTTTTACTAATACAAAATCATTTATATTAATGGTCAAAGTTGTGTCTCGGCAAGTGTGAAATGTTGACCGTTGTATTTATTTAAGAACGGAGGAAGTATATATCAAAACAGTACAGAACAGTGTCAAATAGTATTGAAACAGTGTACTCTACAATGAAATTTACCCTCAGTATGGAATTTTGATTTAGAAACGGAGAGACTATATTTTTGCTCAAAAGTGATCACAGTATTATGTTATACTACCATGATTCCATCATACTTCAGCCTAATCGGGCCTAAAAATCTAGTCCTTAACCGAGTCAACACCCTACAATTGGAGCGATCAAATTGTGCGATCAAACCTCATGATTTGAAATTGTGCTCATTCAACCTTCGATTCTGAATATTACTATCCGCACCAAATAAACTTACTTTTCCCATAATGTGGGATGGAAGCTCAACCTAAAAGTGGTAACGCATTATATAAAAAGAATCCACATTAATTAAGATCCTAAGGAATTATGTGTAGGACAAAGTTTTTGATAACGATGGAGGAAAAAGAAGATGGTTTCTGCTACTCAAATCATCTCAAGCGTCATTATACATGCTCAAATTATTTTTTAGTGTCACGTTAACAAAGAGAGCTGACGTGATAGGCAGGTACTTCGTATCTATTACGTAGTTTATGATTATGATATCATATTTAATGCTCGAAGTTTATGATGTGATTTTTTTGTTGTCCCAAAAAATCTGTAGTTTCTTTTAAAAAGAATGAGTTTGTGGTTACACTTATTACTTGGTCTTCTACACAAATCTTAACCAAATAATTTTTATTTTTCTTATTCCACACTTAATTTAAAGGAGATATTACCCAAAATGGGACTAAAAAAGTTTGGAAATTCCAAAATAGGACTTCCATGTTTTTATTCCCAAAATAGGACTAATTATTGTCATGTTTTGGCAGTACCAGACTTCAAACATGACAGTATTTTCCAAATTTGGCAGTAATTAGTCCTATTTTGGGAATAAAAACATGACAGTCCTATTTTGGAATTTTCAAACTTTTTTAGTCCCATTTCGGGAACTTTCCCTAATTTAAAGTTGTCCAAGTCGGAAGGGACGGGTGTAACACTGTAACGATCGATAATTACAAAATGCATCTCGCACACAAATCACTCGCTTTCCTCCCCTCCCCTCCAAAACCCTCCAACCAAACAAGGTCTAGATTTTTAATCTTTTTGTCTGGCCTTGGTTGAAGGAAATTGGGGGGAAGGGGGAAAGTGAAAGGCTTCCAAAATCCTCCACTTCCTCCCATTCTAAACCCTCCAAATCGGGGTATGTCGGAGGAAACTTTTGATAATCACAAACTATCCATCCCCTACGTGAATGGACAAAACATTATAATATAAAAAGGTAAAAAGTAAAAAAATTTGAAAATTTTAAAAATTTAGAAACTAAAAGATTAAAAAATTTAAAAGTTAAAAAATTTAAAAATTTAAAATCAAATAAAAAATTCAAAAATTAAAAATTCAAAAATAGAAAATTCTAAAAAAATTTAACAAATAAAAACTATAAAATAAAAAAATTTAAAATTAAAAAAGTAAAAAATTAAAAATATCAAAAAAAAATATATATTATGACTCATGACCTTAGGAGTAATATTTACAATAGTTAGAGATGTATCTATTTTTTTTAGTAAACTATCAAAATAAAGGTAAATTGGGAAAATATTTTCATTAAACCTTTCCTCCTACTTCCTCCAACCAAACACAAATTTTTATCAAAATCCTTCCTTCTCATTCCCTTTCCTTCCCTCCTTAACCCTCCCCTTCCCTCCCCTCATTTGAACCAAACAAGTAGACCTGTCAATGGGTCGGGTCCGGGCCGGAACGTAGTGTGTTCTAGACCCGGACCCGCTAAGTAAATAAAGGACCCAGTCCCGACCCATTTACCCGGCGGGTCTAAAAATTTGGACCCGGACCTAACGGGTCTCGGAACCGGGTCGGGTAGACCCGCCAAGTATCATATGCACAACATTATATAATTTTTTAAAAATAGAAAAACATGTATATGAAATGTAAATCAAAGTGCACAAATTTAAAAGCAAAATATATCTTCACTTTAAAAAAAAAATCAAGGTTTATCATAGAAAATTAGTACTTTTATCCAATGAAATATCGGTTCTTGTATATGCGTACAATTCCGCACTTTGTGTCTCTTTCTCTCCCACAGAAAACTCATATACTCCGTATTAGACTAGAAATTTAGTCACAAAAAGTTCTTTTGGACTAAAAACATATTATATACGTAGTACTATTATACTATCACTTATACATTAGGTATGTATTAATTTGGATCTTTTTAATCAAAGAATTAAAACTAATCACTTTATATACATTAGTTTGTATTTTTATTTGAAGTATTATAACTAATCTCTTTATGTATTAGTGTGTGTCTATACACTAATAAGAAATTTTAAACGGGTCCGGGTCCTTAACGGGTCGGAATCATATGTACCATACCCGACCCGTTTATTAAAAGTACTAACGGGTCTGAGTTTGGGTCCGGGTAAACGGAATACAATAAGGACCCATACCCGTTAAAAATAATCGGGTCCGGGTCGGGTCCGGGTCTAGACCCGACCCATTGACAGGCCTACAAACAAGGCCTAAAAGTCTCCCCACATTCACCTTGTTGAAAGAATTGATTCAATGTGAATACTCAAAATTTCATACCAAATAGTCAAAATGGACATTAAATCTAGCGTGAAATGGCATAAAAGTGTATAAAAGACGTAAATTTGTAAATTGAGTGAAGGGTTTCAAAACCTATCGATCAAGAGTTGGAAACTATAAACATGGCTGAAATAAAAAAGAATGAATGCATTATTTTTTCCTCCTTATACCTGAGTATACCTCGAGTTATTTTCCACAAAAGAATTGTAATTGCACTTTTTATTTGTTAAGAAAAAGAACTTTCAAAATTTAATTGGCCTTTTAAAATCATTTAAAATGTCATCATTTTCATTATGATTGTCACAACGAAAACTTTCAAAATTATATTTATGGACCGAATTGCCCGAAAATCTTAGCTAATACTAGTATATTTTACTACTGATAAATATTTGAATAAGAACCATCAAAGTAAAACATCAAACAATCACTAAGCTGGTGCAACAAAATACAAACTTTTTTGTTTTCATAATGACAAAATACAAACATATTAGTAATTTGGTAGGTCTCAAAAGACGTTTTTCTGAATTAAAAAAGAAAACAAACATATTAGTAATTTTAAAAAAGAAAAGCTATCAATTTGGTCTTTGTACTATCACGTAGATCAGAGGTCAATTAAATCCTTGTACTTTTAAAAATATTAATAAAATCCACGAACATAAAAAAACATTCAATTGAGTCAATTAGCAGGTTACCACCACGTCAGCAAGTCACTCGCTGACATTACACACATGTAGCAGTTCAGACATTATTGACTTTGATGACACGACACACACGTGGAAGCCCTGTCATCCATTTTCGATGATGCGGCACATCACGCATGCGTGGACAACCACGTGTGCGCCACATCAGTGGGTGAGCCGCTGACATGGCAGGTAACCTGCTAATTGATGCAGTTGAATTTTTTTCAAAATTTAAAGATTTGATTGATTGTTTTTTTTTATGATGATTTGATTGATTGTTTTAAAAAACAAAGAATTTAATTGACGTTTTAATGATAGTATGAGAACGTAGGAGGGTTCTTCTCCCTGTATAAAAAAAATTAAAAAAGGCACAAACTCATATGGAGAGCCCGTTTGGTAGCACCAAAATCGGCTGTTTTGGCTGATTCTGCTGAAATTTATGATATTCTGGCTGGAGTGGCTGTTTTGGCTGATTCTGCTGATTTCTGAAAAAAATATTTTAAAAATATATTTTATTAATAAATTAAAGAAAAAATTATATGTAAAAATAGCTAAAATGGTCCTCTACAGTGACTTCAGCCAATACAGCCAGAAAAGTAACTCCAACCTTACTTTTTCGGCTTATTACACAATTCAGCGCGCGAAAGTAAAAATTACATGTTTGGTGAAAAAGGTAGCTGATAAGCCGAAAACAGAGTTCTCCAAACGGGTCGGAGTGTTTTTCTTGAAAAACTCGAATTTAGGAGGGGCGGTGCGTACCAGACGTGTTGGTCAAAAACAGTTTCTAGTTACAACAAAGTTGGGGAAGACAAAGAGATCCTTGATCATATAAAAGGGACTCTAATGAATGGGGTAAGAAAGAGAATCCTCCATTTCTTCCCCCTCTCTACTCGTTGACGGGATTGCTCTCTTTTCATTTCCATTTCTTCGCCATTTTTGTCGCTATACAACTTCTCTGTTGCATTCAAGCAGGAACAGGATTCAGGATTCACATTGTAAGGTTTGATCATGGATAGTCTCTGCTTGAAGGCAGGGGTTCAGGGGGTTTCCTCGCCGATCGCAGTCTCCGCCGGTGCTGCCAGATTGGAATTCCGTACTGCTCGCCCCTCCCAGGTTACTGCCTCGGCCGTCGGACGGTCTTTGGCGGTGGACGAGCCCTCCTCCTCCCCCTGGGGGTTCTCGTTCCGCCATTCGCTTAAATCGCTCTGGCCTAAGACCCGCTACGACGCCGTTACGGTTGATAGCCCAATTTTGGCTGAGGAAAAGGAGGATTCGAGAGTTGCTCGTCCGAGCGGAAATTGGGCAACTAAGATCCTCAGCTTGGGAAGTCCGCCGGCGGAGGAAGAAGAGGCGAAACTCGGTGGTGGATTTGGCGAATCGGATGCTAGATTCCAACGCAAAATTGATATTGCCGATGAAAACATCGGCGCCGGTGTTGGTGGCGCAGATGACGATTGCGATGTCTGCCATGTTGATGATGATGATCAGGCTAATATAGAATTCGACAGAGATTCTTTCTCCAAATTGCTACGCCGGGTGTCATTAGCGGATGCTAGATTGTATTCGAAGATGGCGTATCTAGGAAATTTGGCTTATTCTGTAGCTCAGATCAAGGTATGTGTTGTTAATGATACGATTTAGGGTTATTTAGATTCAGTTAAGTCAGCCCAACTTCGGAACTAGCTTATTTTTTCTAACTTTAGCCTGAAAGTAGTCTTATATCGATTATCCATTTTAAGTTTTTAGCTGCAAGGACTAAAAGCATAAACATGAATTCCTTCTTTTCTCTAAAAAAAGGAATATCCTTCTTTGGTCCTAAAAATAGGAATTAGTCTTGTAGCATTGAATGAGTTCTATTTTCCTGAAAAATGGCCATATTTGAATACATTTGTTATTGTTACATCTCTTACCTTCACAGAGGTCCCACTTTACTCTGCGTAATTGTGTAATAATGAAGGCTTTATTATAATTTTCTAATGGTGCAGTCTGAGAATCTTCTAAGGCGTCACAAGCTACGCTTCATCACCTCATCATTGGAGAAGAAACAGCTTGCATTGGAAGCTGAGAGTAGAACGGGCCTAGTTGAAGAAGATCAACTTAAAAAAGAGAATGAAGTTGCTAAAGCCAATGTAGCTGAAGGGGGTGAAGAAATGAACGTTAAAGGAAATGGAGTGAAGCCATCTGCTGTTTACAGGGCAGCTTCATACTTGTATTCTCATACCACGGGCTTCCTACCTTTCAAATCTTCCCAGTCTGATGGGGATGAGCTTAAGAGGAGTGCCGTCAGAAGTGATGTGAATATGGATCTCATGAATGGGGAAGTAGCTTCATTCATGGCCACTACTGACTCTGTGACTTCAGTAGTGGCTGCAAAGGAGGAAGTGAAGCAGGCTGTTGCAGATGACCTGAACTCAACACATTCATCACCATGTGAGTGGTTTGTTTGTGATGATGATCAGAGTGGGACAAGATTTATTGTCATTCAGGGGTCTGAGACACTTGAATCGTGGCAAGCCAATCTTCTTTTTGAACCTGCTCAGTTTGAGGTAATTACTCAGCTCATTATATAGTATCTTCTTAAGTTGCTTTCCTTTTCAATTTATATTTTTAGGTTTCAATAGGATTGATTCAATATAAAACACTTACAACTGTGAAACAAAAGTCTAAACGGCGGATAATAGCATATAATAGTATGTGGTGCTTATGGTAGTTGTAGTGACTGAGTGGGAGCATTCATTTTGGTCTTGAATGCCAACTTTCGTATAAAAGTTTGTTTGGTAAATGTTGTTTGGCTGTATTTGCTATATGTAAGGCTGCATAATCTTGCACTTATGTAGGCTTAGACCAAATAAGAATTTAAAGGACCAGGCCAGATCACAATTGCAACACATAATTTTACAACTAAAACCAACCAAGACTTGCACAGACTAGCTCAGCAAAGCCCATTCAAAGACAAGAGGGATTAATTGTTAAATATGATGTAAAAGGCTGAGAGCTAACAAATATTTGCTAACATCCCCATTTAATACAATTAGGCAAATAAGTAATCCAAAACAGAACCTAAAGTTGTGCACCCCTGCATCTTATAATTGATGAAGTGAATGTCTTAAACTTTATAAGCTCAGTTCTATAACACTCGGTTCTCAAGCCAAGATTTGGGTCCTGCCTCAACCTAGGGAGATGTTGGACTGAACCCTTTAGAAAGAGTGGAGGATTAGCATTCTTACCCTTTGTGTTGTTTTTGGACAGGAGCTAGATGTGCCTGTGCACAGAGGTATTTATGAGGCTGCAAAAGGAATGTATGAACAAATTCTGCCAGAAGTGCGTGCCCACATTAAATCCAGAGGAAACCATGCGAAATTTCGTTTCACTGGACACTCACTTGGAGGCAGTTTATCATTACTTCTAAATCTTATGCTCCTAATAAGAGGCGAAGTCCCCCCTTACTCTTTACTCCCCATTATAACTTTTGGTTCACCATCGATTATGTGCGGGGGAGACCGCCTCCTAAGAAAACTTGGACTGCCCCGAAGTCATGTCCAATCAATCACATTGCATCGTGACATTGTACCCCGAGCCTTTTCTTGCAAATATCCCAATCATATTGCAGAGTTTCTTAAAGCTGTCAATGGTAACTTCCGCAACCATCCATGTCTGAATAATCAGGTACAAACTAGTGTCCTTTTAATGTATATGTTTTTTTCTAGCGAAAGAAACTGTTCATAAAGTGACATAGGTAAATGTGTTTTTTTGTTCCTTCAAATGCATGTTTTTTTGTTTTGTTTAGGCCGATCTATTTTTTTGTTATTCATTTAATTGTTGTTTTCTTTTCGTTCATCCATATCTATTTTGGTTTTAAAAATAGCTGCTCACAAGAACTTCAGTCCAGGTTTTCCATGCAATTCCTTATTCCTTATTTGCTTAATTTTCTCCCTAAGTCGCTTCAATTGATTAAGATTATAGAAAGTTGGAATGATGTGGTAAAGAAAGATTAAGCATTATGAAAAAAACAGCATGCATTGTTGCTAAACCAGAGTTTTCTGTGACATGTCAGATTTTTTTCTTTAAATGGAGGCTGATTGGTAGGGGCTAAAAATGTTCCATATTTCATTCTTATGTTTGTTATTTTTCTGTCTTCACACCAGAAGCTGTTGTATGCTCCAATGGGAGAATTGTTTATCCTTCAGCCAGATGAAGAGTTTTCCCCAAGCCACCACCTGCTCCCTACAGGCTCTGGTCTATATCTATTAAGCTGCGCAGCGGGTGGTGATGCCACCAGCAAACCAGAGAAGCTCATCCAAACGGCTCAGGCTGTGTTTTTAAATACACCACACCCACTTGAGATACTTAGTGACCGGGCAGCTTATGGTACAGGAGGAACCGTCCAAAGAGACCATGACATGAACTCGTACATCCAATCCATCCGGGCCGTTATCCATCAAGAACTGAACCGCATCAGAAAATCCAGGAAAGAACACATGAAGACTATCAGAGTTTGGTGGCCATTTGTGGGAGCAGGAGGGACTAATGTTGTGAGGACATCGTCTGGTAAGATCGGGGAAAGACGGTTTAGGTTTGCAGGAATGTTAATGAGGAGTGGGAGGGACTCTTTTAAACGTTTCAGCACTCTGGTGGCTTCCCAGCACATGCATTTTCTTGTGGTGTTTTTGTTCCCCGCCTGTTTGCTGGTGTTGAAGGTAGTTTAGGAAACTTGTAATTTGTGAGTGTAAACTGGAATGGGGGAAGATGCTTTTCGCACACCAAGTTCTGTGCATGAAAGCGCCTAGTGTACAAGGTGTACAACATAAATGGCAACCCTATGGAATCTGGGGAAGATGGTGGATGGTTTAGACCATTTGAAGCAAAAGATGTGATGTTCCCTGGTTTTGAGAAGGGGATATATGGGATTCGTTGAATCTTTTAGGATTTATTAGTGTTGTACTCTAAATGTATGATAATAGTGCCCTGTCATATAGGTTGTACAATATACATACACAATGAAGGTAAGAATACAATTACCGTAGCAGTCCTGCTCCTCTTTTGTTCTCTCATTACATCATCACTGTATGTATTGTAAACTAAGGAGAATCATGCTCGGGTTCCAGTTCTGGTAACTATGTTAAGAGAATCATGCTCGGATAGTGTGCTTGTAAATTACCAGGCACACAAATTTGCTCATAAACTTAAGTTGAGTCCCTGATGATTGTTGGGCCCGTAGTGAGGATACTGAATATTGATTAATTCGTGTTTTTTAATCAAAATGTAGGTAAACTTGGATCCTAGTATCTTGGCAACAACTTATCTACAAGATAAAATCTCCGGATTTAATATATACGAAGTACTATATATCTTCATGGACCTGGAAGAAGTGTACTCTTTAATTTTATCGAATACGCAAGTAAAACTTTCATGATATCTAAATTAAATAAATGTATTATCATTTTTATTTTATTTAGCAATTAAGTTTGTTCTTGAAGAAGCTATTGCTAAAATGGGAACATGATGCATTTTCTAATCGTTAATTTATACGGAGTATATCACAATGAAATTTACACCCTACCCTTTCTTTACTAGATAGGCTGAGCCGCTGAGGGGTCCTGGTAATTTTATTACTCGTGTCAATTACAAAAGACAAATATTTTAATCCTTGTAAATGTAGTGACTATGTTTTAATTACTTGTTCATAGTTGTAATTTGTTATTCTTTTTGTGTTTCATTGATGACAACAAAATTTGTTTGACTGGTAAATTTCCTACTCCCTCAGTCCCATATAGAGGTTCCCGGTGCGCGTTACGATACTTGACTGACGATAAAGAAACTCGATGCCTGTTCACACCCTGATTATTTCTAGTAAATAAAATTTACATATTCAGAAACTATGTTAAAGTCGCTACAAAGCCTGATTAAAAAAATATAAATTTCATAAAAATTTGATATATAAAGCAAAAAGTTAAGAATGATTTAAGTTGATCATGTGAATAGTGGACAAGAACCTTTAAATGAGACGGAGCCACGGAGGGAGTATCATTCTTTATCATGTTCTTGAATATTATGTAATTTCATACTCTAATCATTAAAAATACGGAGTATCTTATAATGTTAATGACTAGATTTACGTTGATTTAACTTCAATATTAGCCTCCAATAAATAAGAAAATGATGAAGTTAAAATTTTCTTGTAGGGTTAAGCAACTGGCATTCATTTGTTTTCTAAATGAAGATGGTCATGGAGTTAAAGAAGATTAAAAACAGCAATACATAGATGAAAATCGAAATAAAAAATTCGCAATTTAATCCAAATTACTCCTTCCGTCCCATAAAATAGTTTCCACTTTTCTTTTGGGACTATCCTAAAAAATAGTTCTCATTTTACTTTTTGAAAAATTGTGTAACTATCATTCATTTATTTTTTGTACTCAACTACAATCATACATTTTCATTTTATTTCTACTTTCTTGAATTCCGATCCAAATCACAGTGGGAACTATTTTATGGAACGGAGGGAGTACTTATCTGGTAAAGATATCAGATAACAATTGTAGGCTTTGTTTTCCATAGGAGAAATAGCGTTTGCAAATATCAATTTGAGCCAAATAATATTCGTGAGAGATGTAGAGCCCGTTTGGTAGCACGAAAAAAGGCTCTTTTGATTGATTCTGCTGAAATTTATGAAGTACTGGTTGAAGTGGCTGTATAGGCTGATTCTGCTGATTTAAGAAAAAATTATTTTTAAAATATATTTTATTATTAAAATAAAGAAAAAATTATATGTAAAAATAGTTAAAATGATCATCTACAGTAACTTCTGCCAATACAACCAGAAAAGTAACTCCAACCTTACTTTTTCTGCTTATTACACAATTCAGCGCGCGAAAGTAAGAGTTACGTATTTGATGAAAAAGTTGATTGATAAGCCTGATAAGCCGAAAAACAGTGTTGTCAAACGGCCTCATAGTTTATTTTCCTATAATCATGTCTTGATTGAGATGCACACGTATACAATACTAATATAAGATGCAAGTAGGGATGGACTCGGGCCGGGCCAACCGGCCCGGAACCGGACCGGCCCGCTACTGTGCGGGCCCGGACCGGCCCGGTGAACCGGTTCAGTTCCGGTTCGGGCCTCCCGGCCCGGTGGTATACCGGTCCGGGCCCGGGCTCAGTTTAGTGAACCGGCCCGGCCGGGCCGGGCCCGGTTCGGGCCGGAATTTAATTTTTTTTTTTTTTTTGAAATTTTTTTAAGTTTTGGGTTGGATTAGGTATTTTGGGCCATTTGAGGTGGTTTGGGGTGGAGGGGGAGGGGTAGGGGGTTAAATAAGAGAAGAAGAAGAAAAAAAAAAACATTCCGGGTGGCCCGGCCCGGCCCGGTTCTGGCCCGGAACCGGAACCACCCACCACCGGTTCGGGCTCGGGCCTCCTTTTTCTGAACCGAGGCCCGGCCGGGCCCAGGCCCGAACCGGGCCCGAACCGGAACCGGTCCACCCCTAGATGCAAGGAATAGGGTAAAAAACTATGAATCAAAATAGACGTTGGAAAAATAGGATTGAGATCATGTACCATAAGGCAGAATACCTTACTCAAATGAATGACACAAATTACAAATCGAGCCTTGAGATTCATGTAAAATGGGATCTGTAATCTTCTACCATTCATTTTTTTTTTTATCTGAGGGTAAAATTAACAAGACACGCTCCTTTTCTGCTTAACCAAGGCAGTGGCGCCAGTCGCCGCCAGATGCAAAAAAATAGGTCAAAATCAAGGTAATTTTAGACTACCCAAACAAGTCCCTTATTCCTTGTGATTATGGGAAACAACTTTAATTTCACCAACTATCATTACTAGGGGTGGACTCGGGCCGGGCCAACCGGCCCGGAACCGGACCGACCCGCTACTGTGCGGGCCCGGACCGGCCCGGTCACCCGGTTCTTGACCGGTTCGGGCCACCCGGCCCGGTGGTATAGCGGTCCGGGCCCGGGCCTCCATTTTAGTGAACCGGCCCGGCCGGGCCGGGCCCGGTTCGGGCCTCCAACGGCCAAATTTTAAAAAAAAAAAAAAAATTTAAAAATTGGAAGAGCTCCTCCTAGCCGTTGGGAAGGCTCCCAAACGGCTCTATAGCCGTTGGGAGCATAGGAGGGGGGGGTCTGGGGGGTTAGGGGGGTGGGGTGGGGGGTCGGGTGGGGGGTGGGGGTGGGGTATCAAAAAAAATCTATTTAAACTCCTATTTTCTCTACATTTTTTACATCTCTTCTTCTACAACTCTTCCTACTCTCTAATTCTCTACTCTAAATCTCTCATATTCAATCATCTTCATTCTTCATCTTCTCCAAATTCTTTCTACATATATATAATTATTATTCTACTTATATATTAATTATCTATATAAAAATATATACTTATACACATTCATATTATAATTCTTTACACATTATATATACTATATAAGTATATATACTATACACATTCATATTCACTTGATATTTAGTTATTATCCATACTATTGTTATTTACTTATATTTACATTTTACATTTAGTTAATATATACTTATATATATATATATATTAAAGTATTAAGTATAAGTGTATTACTCATCTTATAGTAATATACTTATATATTATATACTATAAACATTATATTATATATTACTTATAAATTATAATATATTTACACATTATATATACTATATATACTTATACACATTCATATTTATTTGATATTTAGTTTTTATACATACTATTGTTATTTACTTATATTTACATATTACATTTAGTTAATATATACTTATATATATATATATATATATATATATATATATATATATATTAAAGTATTAAGTATAAGTGTATTACTCATCTTATAGTAATATACTTATATATTATATACTATAAACATTATATTATATATTACTTATAATAGTAGTTAATTGTTAGACTTCTAATTTATCTATTAAATTAGTTAATTGTTACAATTCTCTACATTTCTCTTTCAAAAATTAAATAGTTAAAGTAGTATATTTTTACATTTGTCATATTTCAATTAGTTAAAGTACTTAATTGTTTCATTTGTCATATTAAAATTAGTTATTTCATACATTGCTCATTAAAGTAAAAAAAAAACTAGTTAAGTTTGCGTGAATTTTTACATTTTTACATTTGCGTGAATTAAAGTAATATTTGCTACTAATTGCTACTTAAATGTAACATTTCTCATTAAGGTAAAAATAACTAGTAAATTTTTACATTTGTCATTTTAAAAACTACCTAAAGTAGTTAATTGTTAAAATTGTCATATTAATATTAGTTAAACTACATAATTGTTACATTTCTCATATTAATATTAGTTATTTTGTACATTGCTCATTAAAGTAAAAAAAAACTAGTTAATTTTTACATTTGTCATATTTATATTAGTCAAACTAGTTAATATTTAGTTAATTGATACATTTCTCATTAAAGTATTAATTAGAAGTAGTTCGATTTGTATACTCATATTTTAGTTCGAATTCGCAATAGTTTTCTTAGTCACATTTTATTATTACTATTGTACTCATATAAAATATTTGATATCATTTAATATTTGTTCAATTTTAAAGATGGAACGTGGTAGACATTCTGTAGATGTGGGTAATCTCCAACGCAACCGCAAGAGGGAGATTGCGTCGACTCGTCCTAATTCACGCAAAGGCAAAGGTAAAGCGCGGGCCGAGTCTTCTTTTCAAAGTCGAGATGATTTTGAAACGGATTACCAACGGAGAGATGATATGATGATGTCCGACGAGCATCTACAAAACCTATTGTCCCAAAACGATCCACGCTTTGCACAAGAACAACCCATCCCGACAACCATTGATGAAGAGGAGCTCGAGGATGACGATGCGGAGGAGGACGCGGGGGGCGACGGGACTCACGGCACCCCGGATGATGAGCAAGACTTGGAGGACGAGGGCGGTTCAACCCAAACTGGTAAGAAATCTAAATCTCCTATTATTGAAAACAATTTTACAAAAAGGAAAGACAAAAATACCGAAAAATGGTACGCAAGTTGCAATCATTGCGGCAAAGAGTATAGCTTGGGAACTTCTGGCGGATACGGGAGTCTCACAAGGCATCTTAAATCCGCCCATCTTGTGGAGTATGCGAAAATAGACAAGGGCAAGGGGAAGCAAACACAAATATCGAGGTTTGCAAATTCTCAACCCTTTGGTAATTTCTCCTATGATGATCAAAAACATTTGACTGGTATGTCTCATTTAATTGTTGAAGAAAATTTACCCTATATTTTTTCCGAAAGTCTTGCTTTAAGAGATTATGCTCAAGGCACTTTAAATCCTCAATTTAGAAATTATAGTCGCAAAACGATTAAAAAAGAAGTTATAAGGCAATATAACTTCGAAA